CATCAATGAACGTGCTGCTGATGAAACAGCTTTTTCATGTGACTTTTTATAAAGGACAAGGTCTTGGAGTAAATCCCCAGTCATCAACTGTTCATAAAGAGAGAAGGCATTTAGGAAAGGCATAATGTGAAAACTGATCAGCAAGGTACACAATTGCTCCTGAATATATTTTTCAGGCATAGATGCAAAGTATGTGTGCTTAATGTGTGCGTGTGTGTGAGTGGCTGCTAGTTTTCAACTTCAACAAAATGCAAGTGGTGTCTACTACTATCTCAAACAGATCATAAGTTTCATGTCACTATTTGTTGTAGGTAGCATGTCAACTGCTGAACCTGCCAAATAGTTTAGACATGTTTCACGGCAGAGCACAAATGAATTATGCATGTTTAGGAAAGAACCCAATGTGAAGCTGAAGTTTTAGATATTCACCAAAGGCATGCGCAGGCACATCTCCCTCACCACATTAAGCCCCACTGCAATTGCCTGGCAAAGCAAGAGTAAAATAAAAAACCAGCCCACCGCCTATGGAAAGCAACAATGAACAAATCAACCGAAAAACCAATATCTAAACTAAAATAATTAGCTGTCAAACCAGTTTATTACTTCAGTACGAGATCGATCATGGACAAATTGATTCACCACTTGCTTCAGAAGTGACTCAACTGCATCTGGAGGCACCTGGTCCCAGCAAAATAAAATAGAATGCCCCACAATAAGCCACGCACATAGAAATATACTCAACAAGAACTAACAAAACAGACGGCACAACGCATGAGAAAACAACAATGCTAAAGAATATAAATTGGGAATGACACTTACACCAATGAACTATAATACAGCATTAGTCCATTAGCATCATCATTATTTGATGCAAAATGGACAGATGGAGTAAGACAGAGAGCAGGACATGACCCCAACGGTGGCCCCCACTCTCTCTTCACCAGTGTCCAACATTCCATTGCACAATGATAAGCCCAATGGACTATGGTTTTCCAAAGTTCATTGGATTATATAACATATCCCATATTAAAATTTCGAATTACAACCATATCATGGCAAGCCTGGACAGCTGCTGCTAGCAAATTAGTGACGTCCCGCTGATGAGGCTGCAAGAGTAAACATGCAATTAGAGCTTAATATAATAATAGCTCAGATTTGCACTAGCAGTAGCTGGAGTGTCCTAGCATACCTGAACATACTTTCGAAGGAATTCATAGAAATTTAACAATATTAGGCGATGAAGCCCCACAGTCCGAGCAATTACTTTTAACATCATCATCTTAACCTGAAAATTCAAATTTGGGAATGAGGTGGCATAAAATCTTCTACAGGGATATAAAAGTTTCATTTAAGGCAAAGACGAGGCAATCTTTCAAGAGCAGCTACCTCAAACCTCTCATTGCATGTTTGAAGACGAGAGAAGAGCTTCTCGGCGAACCCCTAAGGGGAAAACGAAATGAAGTAAAATCAAAGAAACTTCCAATCAAATCAAAGAAACTCGTAGCCAAAGTTCGCAGTGAGAAGCAAAGCATACCTGTGCATCTTTCAGATGTGAAAGAGGTGAATAGCCACTAAAACCAGAGTTTTCTGAAGACACGCGTTGCTGTCTTTTCATACTGCGCATAACACGTTGCAATTTTGCTTTTTTCTTCTTCTTGCTTGCAGTTGTACCTTGATGATGTGCCTACAGAGAAAAAAGGCTTCGAGTAAGTGCCTTGAGCATCGAGTAACTCACAGAAAAGGCACTACTGATATCACCATGGATCATTTGCTTCCCAAATCTCATCCAATTGAGCGAAGGTGATGAAAATTGAGTTCTAAGTAGACACTAAAAATTTTCATATTATTCATACTTTTTGCTATTTTAGAGAAAAAATGCAGTATTTTTATGTTAATCAGTAGAGAAAAAACACAGTAACTAACAACAAATTTTTTGAGGTAACCACCTTGTGAACCGCCGCCCTGCTTAGAACCACATGAGGTTTCTGTTCAGTTGTATCATCTTCGCTGCTTGAGCCATCACTCTCATTGCCTTCCTCAACGCGCTCATACCCAAGAAGGAAAGATAGAGCAGCTTTCATGATCCTGGATTAACAGAAATACAGTAGGCCTTCTAAACAATTACAAAGTCCTGAAAGGATGATCATGATTGAACAAATACACAGGATTACGGAAAGAGGTTTTACTCTATACCTGGATGATTTATGAAAACAGGCTGTACAAATTGCATTTGCAGTCCGTTCATCAAACCAGACTTTTCGGCGGTGAAGATCACATAGTACAATTAGCGCCCTTTTAGCCCTAGATTCATCTTCTTCCTATGGCAAGATATCAGATTTCATTCACATAAAGTAGTAGCATAATCATCTTAGACCTTCCCCGTTTAGGAATCAAGTGTCAGTGACCAAACACGAAAGAAAAATGAAGCAACTTGACTATCAATTGCAAGTAAATTGTGAAGTCCATAATAGATAAGTAAATTCATAAATTGGTAAATATGATGGGTTTGTACAGACCAGTGTTTCAAAACTCGACAGACTTGGCTGAGTTACTCGGCCTCAGCACCCCGCTAAGGCGAGTAGTGGTGTCCATACTGGCGGTATGGGCTTGCCCAAGTTCCACAGTACTTCGGCGAGTTTGTACAGCACTTAATAAAAAAGCATAAAAGGGGGGCTGAAATCTGCCCTTCTTTTTACATCTGTATCTCTTCTCTGAGAAAACTCTCTCTCTCTCTCT